CCCCCAGCCCGTCAGCAAAAAAGGTTGCCGACCCCTGGTTTAAAGACTTCACTCCACTACAGTACGACATGGAGCTTTCTAGAGGCTGTATGGAAAAATGACTCTCCTAGGTCTGCCTCTGCCTCCTGGTCCTGCCTCTGAGGGTTGGGCAAGCTGACACTGTTGTTGAATATGGTATTGCTCGCTATAGATCAACTTTAATTCACCAGAAGTAATTAATCCATATCAAGCCCCAGGTATCTAGTTTTATGATCTTGGAACTATGCTGGAGATGGATACACATATTCAAACTCTTTTGTTATAAATGTATCCTTGTACTTAGGGATAGATGTCAGTTTTGTATTTCAGCCATCCAAAGACTATAAATATTTTTATGTAATATATATATATATATATATATATATATATATATATATATATATCTTTATAATAACTTCTAATTGCAGGGCTTTCTAGGATAGGACATCTATGAACTGTATCCTTACTATAAAATTAATTTGATATTTGCAGGAAATCAACCATTTCCTATCTGTAAATATCTCTGATTCATTATCATTAACAAGGCGTGAAGGTTTAAATGATTTGCGCAAGCAACTTGAAAGTCATAAAGAACAAATGAAACACCTTATGAAAGAGTTTCAGGGTAAGGATTTGAGACTACATTCTTTTCCTATGAATGGTGCAATTTGTACTTCTATTATCAAGTTTGTTACTATTTTTATTCATATTTTATTTATTTTTAAACTTTATTACAGGTATCAACAAATTTAATATCCCATGAATATATTATATAAATTACTAAGCACTTATTAATATTCTTACAAAACACAAAATCCTTACTATGTTGTAAAATAACTTTTTAATAGTCTCCCAAACTATCTTATTTCATTTTTACACTATATTCTATATTAAGTCTTAATCTACATCAGTTTAATATGATTATTAATATTTAATTCTTTCTGTGAATTCATTTATCTATTGGGTTGTTTCTGAATTTCTGTTGTTTGATTTATAGTTTAGTTTAAAATAATCTGTTTTTTCTCTGCATATTAAAACCGTTGTTTTTCATAAGTAATGTACTGACTGGATATACCCAGTAGCTGGACTTTGTACACTTTTTGTTTAAATATATATCCTTTCCCCAGTCAATTTAATGTCTAAAGAACCTTACATAATATTTATGAAAATAATAATAAAAAGCAGCTAATGTATATTCACAAAGACAGTATAAAATTTGCAATCATCAGCATCACAGCTGAGGAACTGATTAACATGTAGAAGGCTATGGAAACTTATATTAGATATTGAGGAATGCACTAGATCAGGGGTAGGCAACCTTTCCCCTTTAAGGACCAAGGGACTTCAGCTCCCAGAATCCCAGGAGCTATTGGCCAACATGGGACTATTGGCCAACATGGCTAAGGCTTCTGGGAGCTGAAGTTCCTCGGCCCTTAAAGGGGAAGGGTTGCCTACCCCTGCACTAGATCAAACATATATTGGGAATACATTTCTTAACTGAGGTGCCAAGGTGGAAAATGTCTGTCTCACTGTTCACTCCAGAAAATTGTATTATGGCAGACAGAAATAATATGGATGCAAAACAGGTGTAACATCTATTAAAATCTACATTTGATAATAGGATGCTGCAAATGCAATTAAGCAGGTCTCACATATAAATGTAATATTTATTTAATACTTTTTCTTTCAACTGACAGAAGTTCCAAAGGACTGTGTAATAGTGAAGCTGGTGGTATGTCTTTTACAGCTTTCAAAAATAGCTGTAAACTCTTCTGATACAATCTTGGGTAAGTACCTGAGCAGTAAATTGCAGTTCTTTTAACAAATAAATCAGACTATAAAACCCCATACTATTTAATACAAG